TTTTTCTTTTCACAACAAATTTTAAAGTTAAAAGCTACAATTAATGGTATAGTAACATAATGGATATCTCAATTCTATCGACTAGGTGTATGGTGTCAAGTTAGCACTACATACCATATTTTTTAGAAAATGAGAGCTACAAATTTTTTCTTTCCACAACAAATTTACAACAAAAACACTACAATTAATGCCGTAGTTAACTTTTCCAATTTCAAAAAGTGTAGTGCCAACTTGACACACGTAAATTTATCACTCGAAGGTGAAGCAGAGGTGGAATCTTACAGGATCGTACAGGATTACCCGGCAGTTCTGGGTGTCCTACGACCCACTTAAAACCAAAGCCCTCTTAGGAATGAGCAAAGAATATACCTACAAACTTACTGCAGTATGCCCTGGCGCGTTGGGGTACATGTCGAAAGGTGGATTACCCTTCAAAAGACTCTGTCGTAGTTGCGATGACCCAAGCTCAAAAGAGACAATCGAACACTTCATTTGCGTCCAGCCCTCGCAAGGATGAGGCTAAAGACCCTATGCATTCCTGCAGAATGTTTTAGAGTGCAGCTGTCTCTTTCTGTATGACGTACTGAAATTCATTAAAGCCGCAAAATGGCTGCAGGTTGCACGAGTTATGGAATCAAAATGGCAAACTTTCTCAAACTATTAAACTGTCAATGTTTCTATTTACACAAGATTGTAACTGACTGTTTGATTATAAATTAATTTTATACATAAATATGTATTGTATTTGGAAGTGAATTGTTCTCGTTATTTTCTTGTTAAAATGCATGTGTTATTTATTTTTGTACTGACAATAATATATTAGGAACATATTTTTAAATGCATATTTTACTTGTTTATAGCGCATATTTTTGAATCTTGCGTGTATATTATATGCGCATATTTTCGATTTTTTAGTGCATAAGATTCCGAGCCCTATACATGTCTTAAGTAATATTGATGAGTAAATTTAATATTTTGGGTTCGTCAAAAAAATTAAAAATTGGCGCAACTTTCTTTACTTGTAAATTGTTTATATTTCAGAAGCATCAATACATCCTTGCAAGGCCCAATAACACTGGTTTACAGCAAAAATGTTCTATGGATGCCACTATCCAATTTTTTATGTAGAATCGCTCGGTGATTCCGAAAATCGAGTTAAGTTTTTTTTCTATGGATACGTTTTCGAGATATTTTCAACTTACCGTTATTCAGCTTAAAGCAAAAATTGGATAAAAGGATCCACGTATATCCTACGAACCAATTTAACGATCTTAAAATAAAGTACGGCAAATGAAAGCTAATGAAATTCTCAATAAACCGTATATACATTTCCGATAGAGCTTATAGTTTCTGAAAAATTAATTAATCATTCCAGCTCTTTTTATTTTTTAATGAAAAAAACAAACTTTAACAGAAGAAAAATGTAAAAAATAACAGGTTATGTGCCAAATTTTTGCACTTGTGCTAAAGCCTGTTCTGTTACAAAAAAAAGGCAATTACTAATGAAGAAAATCGATGGATAAATAAGAAATAATGAGTGGTCGAATGAAAATACGCAAAGATTTTTTGTATGAAAAATGAGTAGGAAAGAAAGTTACTCATACGCCACGTACACCTGAGTAACACGCTAAATGGCTATCACAGGTTCTATCACCTTTTGTTTTTTTTCTAGATCTTCTCAAATATTGTCTCAAAATCTAGACAGCGTTAACATTTTAGGTTACAAAATTGTTTCCCATTTTTGTTGGCCTGTGTTATCAATTCGTCGGAGTATTTTTTTATGCATGTTACCGCATGTTATATAGCACCAATCTAAGTGATTTTCACTGCTGTGTGATCGGTATGTAAACCGGTAACACAATTTAATGGGTTTAGTTTCCTACATAAAGGAGATAATATCTATATAATATATATTATATCGCAAAAACTGGTATCTGAACAATCAGTGGTATAAGAGATAAAGCTCATACAGCATAGATTTTGACGATTTTCTCCGTAGACTTCGTATTATTATTTATAAAATAGCTAACGAAATTTATCGGTTTTAGCTGTCCAAATAAAGGAGTTTTACAGTAAAACCCCATATCTGAACAATCAGTTGTATGGAGGCAATAAATAGGTTATAGTGACCCGTTAATTGTTAATTTTACTCTAAACTCTCTGTTGATAATGAGTGAAAATAGTGCGAAATTTCATGTTTCTAGCTGCATATATGGAGAAGTTTTAACAAATAATCTCATATCTGAACAATCAGTTGTATGGGAGCTATAGGTTATAGTGACCCCATCTTTGTAATTTTTACTATAAGTTTTCTGTTGATAATGGATGGAAGTATTGCAAAATTTCATGTCCCTAGCTGCATAAATGGAGAAGTTATAAAGAAAAATCTCATATCTGAACAATCAGTTGTATGGAAGCTATATGTTATAGTGGTCCGATTCTTCCGGTTCCGACCAATGATTAATACATACATTATAAAAATACACCCAACTACCAAATTTCATCCGGATATCTCGAAAACTGAGAGACTAGATTGCATACAAACAGACGGACAGACAGACAGACGGGCATGCCTAAATCGACTCAGCTCGACGTTCTGATCATTTAAGTATACATTTTAATGGGTCTATCTCTTCTTATTCTGGTACTTACAAACATCGGACCAAAGTTATAATACCATTTCGTGCTCATAAAAGGTATAAAAGAATCAACATTGAAATGCGTCAAAATGGAAATAAGGGAGTACTATTTTCGATGTGAAGCAATCTCTATGGAAAGACATTGTGCCTTGTGAATAAAAAATAAGCAAATGCTTTTCCTTAAAATTTCCGACCTTTTACTCGATTTATTCAAACAAATTTAAGTAAAAGGTCTGAAAATTTATGAAAAAGCAATTGCTAATTTTTATTCATAAGGCCTAATATCTGTGAATAATTGTATCAGAGGGCGTTTGTAAGTAACATTTTCGAGATAAAATTTTGATGTCAGGAAATTAACAGCTCAGATTTAACCAATCCGTTGCTTTTCTATCCTACCGCTCATTTCAGCGCAGGTTTAATATAAATGTATTAACTTACCTGCGGATTCTTCCGCAGATGCTGCAGCATCGACTATATCACGCTTCTCAGCTTCTCGTTTAGCCTGCTCAGCAGCTTCTAAAACTGCTTTAGCCTCCATTTCTTCTTTGACGCGTTGTCGTTCAGCTTCTTCCGCTAATTCTTGCCGCCTTTTTATTTCTTTGAGCTCAAACTGTAACAATAATAAAATATAACGAATGTATTGCGGTGTTTGAAAAAAATGAATTCTGGTAGAGAAATTGATATGAATAATGCACCAGTGATTTCTCTCACAGAGAGAGAAAGATAACAACAACCACAAGGAAGAAAAAGTTATGAACTAGAACGATGAATCCGCCTTTAGGAAAAAAGTGTCAGAACAATTTTTATAGATAATTGCATGATATACACTTTCATCTAACCTATTTTCATGAGCAGCACTGGGTCTGTATCCTGCGCTGGGCATTCGAACCGAAACAGTGATTTCCAGAGCCGCGCCCTTCAACAGTCTTTTTTTTTCTTTTATTAAAAAACTTAAGTTATTGTTGATCGCAAAAGTTCGAGTCAAATGTTAACCTTTATTTTTAATCGAAAAATTTAAAGTCAACTCTTTTTTTTCATCAACAAAATAAAAGTCAAATTACAACTCTAAATTCTGATCGAAAACATATCGATAAAAAACTAACCACTTTCTTTGTAAAAATTCGTTACAGTTACGGTTCCTGCTCAACACGCGCCACGAGAAAAGGGACCTAACACGAGAAAAAATCGATTTTCAGATTCTTACATTCAAGGTGTATTAAACAAGGTTTGATTGACAACTCAGCGAGTCTCTCTTTTAAGGTACTATCACGTCAAAAAATATAAACAAACGATTCAAAATTCATACAAATTCTTTTTCAATTTGACTTTATAGGATGGTTCTTATAGGCGTCATACACGGTGCGTCTGACTCGTGAGTCAATTGTGAACGTGTTGACTCGCTTTTCGACTACACACAGTTGAGTTATTTAGAGTCATGCCAGAGTCACACATATTTATTTTTACTAATACATCCAAACCGACTCGCGAGTCAGACGCACCGTGTATGCCGCCTATTATGAGAGCAATGTCAAATTCAATCACACTGTGTTAAATACATTTTGATTAATAGCCCAGTTATGCATACTTAGCTTTGCTTGAGAGTAGTCACATAAAAATCTGTTAAATGGGCTATGCATGTAAGCGGTTACACAACGCATAGCACTTCACATGTAGAATTCTGTTTGGTTTTGATTTTTACGTAAAAATGGTGCTATGCGTTCCGTAACCGCTTACATGCATAGCCCATTTAACAGATTCTTATGTGATAACTCTCATGCAAAGCTAAGTATGCATAACTGGGCTATAAGGCTCTGTTATGCATACTTGGCAGTGCATGCACTGCTATACTATTTTTAAGTAGAAATCAAAAACCAACAGACTTCTACGTATGTAATGCTGTGCGTTGGGTAACCGCTTACACGCGAAGCTCTATTAACAGATTCCTTATGTGACAACTCTCAAGCAATGCCAAGTATGCATAACAGAGCCTTTACATTAATCCATAAATATAGAGTCGAATTTTCAAACTTCATTATATGCTCTATAAAACATGTCATTTTAAAAACTTGAGGAGGCAACTTTCACTCGCTTTAGCCAGCAAGCGCTTCTGCTTGACGCCTCGTCCTGGAAAATTTGCCCAACTCGCATTAGGTTCCTTTTCTCTTGGCGCCTCACATTTTAAGCCGGCTTTATTGCAACATGTTGTAGAAAACCTTGCTTATTTACTACAGTTTTAAACGCGTCTGCTAGAAAACTTTTTTTGGCTGAATTGGGACAATATTTTGGAGATTTTGGTAAAACTTTAGCCCATATTTATGAACTTACCGTTGTTAGGCGCTCAAGAGCACTGAAGCGTTCTTCTTGGGCTGCAGCGGACTTTTCGAATGCTTCATGTTTTTTAATAAGGTTCTCAACTTCATCTATTGTGTGGCCTAATTCAGACGATAAGAGGTATGGTTCTTGGGCAATAAGCCAGGCTTCAGCTACAGCAGCGTCCCGGGCGAACTGATACACTTCTAAAACTGTAATTTTGGAAACAAACACAAATAAGTCAAACTAAATGTGCAGCAAAACTGATGTTTTTTATATATACATACTTAGCTGTAAGTTCTCCCATCTCTCTTCCCACCGCCTTAGCAAAGCATTTCTACTGTTATTTAATTGCAAAAGCCTATCTTTAATATCTGCTGATGCATAATGACTTCTGGCCAACAATTCCTTTCCAAGAGAAATACAAGCGGCAAAGTTGTCCTCTCTAGTATCAATTTCAGCCTTAAGACTTTGATGATTATTCATGAGTAGCTCCACCCCGGAAACGTCTCTTGGCTTCTCAGATGTGTTCATTTGACGTACGAGATCCTCCATCCAAATCATCAATATACGAACCATATTAAAGAATCTAAACAGATCACCCGTGTCAGCTAACTTCTGTTTGCGGGCATCACACATGGCTTGCAAATTGGACCATGCATGTAGAACCTCTTGTTCGCGGTTAGTAATTTCCTTTGCTTTATCGCCAGCGTATGAATCTTGTAGTTTAGCGGATTCTTCTTGAATTTGTTGTACTTGTGAATAAAGAGTCATGAGGTCCTGCATGAAATTGTGGTGTTTTCGTTGCAGAGTCGAGACAGATCCTGCATCTCGCCCCAATTCGTCAGAAACACCATGTTGTTTTTCTATTATACGACTTAATATGTCTTTGCAGTCGTGGAAGAATTTGTGCAGTTCCTTAGAAGCAGCCAACATTTGCGTGCGTGTTTCAATAAGTTCCAAGAGATCTTGCCAGGATTCATTCAAATTGTCCTTCCATTCAGCGATTGTTGCCGAGTCTGAATGACCAGCTTGAATCAAATTGTCAGCAATGTTATTAACCTTCGCAACTCGTTCTCCGCCTACAGCTTCAGTATCGCGAGCGAATTCGTTAAACCGTTCCGAAAGTAATGTTACGTGATCATAATCTTGTCCCAGTTCCTGGGATCCGGCAACAACTTCTCTATCCGTAATCCATTGCTCCAAATCGTCGACTTCTCTGCTCAACATAAACAACTGTAATGCTTCATTCAAGCGAGCACGCCGCTCTCCAGCCAAATCTTTTAGACCGGCGTAAAGTTTATCTAATTGCGATTGCTTAACAGACACAGCGTCACCGCTGCCTGTGTCTTCGGTGTTGAATTGTCTTGCAACTTCACCCAGTTGTCGGATGGTGTTAGCATAGTCTTCAACAGATTGCTCCAAGTTTTCATGTTTCTTCATTAGGTTTTGCGCACTGATCTCATCTTTTCCTCGGTCTTCAACCATCATGTACAACTCTTGTTCGCTCATCCATGACTCAGCCTCTTGGGCATCGAAAAAGTATTGTTGTACCTTTTCGGATTCTACAAGATTTCTCTTACGATTATCAATAGCATCTTTAAGTTCTTGCCATCTTTGCGTAAGATCACTAATCAGACTCTCGAACTTCTTGGCATCTTCGTGACCCTCATCGATCAATTTTCTGCCATTGTTACAAATGGCCATTATTCTAGGTTCATGATTATCAATTTCTGTAGCAAGAGATTGATTTTTCTTTTTCAAAACATGAACATTGAACAATGAATTGCCATAATCCTTTGAAGTAGCTAAAGGCAACTTTTCGTCAATCCACAATTTCTCATCCTCAACGTCCCGACAGAATTGGAATGCTTCCTTCTTCTTTTCTAATTGTTTCTGTCGTTCAATCAGTGGAGCTTTAATTTTCTCAAATCTATCGAGAACTGCTGTTTTCTTCGTAACAATCGGTTCAATCTTTTCCAATGGTGTTGTCTTTTGTAAATATTCAGTTTGCTTATCAATTTCCTCCACTTGTCGTTCTTTAGCTGCCATTTGTGTTTGTATAACTTGTTGTTTCTGCATAAGAATATTTACTGAAGTAAGGTCATTGCCGGTATCGGCACTTACTATTTGTTTTTCTAAGTCAGTAATATAAGAATCGATATCATCGCATGTTTGCTGCACCAAAACTTCACGATTAGCATCGAATAACATTGCACCCTTTTCTTTTGTGTGAACTTCCAAATCTTCGAATTGCTTAGCAAGCTCTTTCAATTTGGGCTCAATAATATCCTTAAACTCTGGTTTCTCTTTAGACAACTCCTGAGCTGCCTTTTCAGCCTCAAACAAACGTTCTTTATTAGCTGCGATCTCCGCCTCAAAGGCTTGATGCCGTGTCCATTTGGAATGAATCGTCTTAGCACTTCTGTATGTTTCGTCCTGAGATGTCACATATCTTTCTTGAACCCATTCAGCCAATTCTTCCAAATCTTGTAAGAATTCATGCAACTTAACTTGGTTCTTCAACTTCTCATGCTGATCCAATGCACGTTGGCGATTATCGTCACGACGACCTGCAATATTTTCCGCTCTCTTTCCAATTTTCTCGGCATCAAAATGTTCTTTTTCCACAAGGGTCTCCGCGACCTGCAATAGTGTATTTATCTTATCGTCATTTGCCTCCATCGTGGTTAAGAAAGCTTCGTGACGTTTAAGTTGGTTCTCTGCTTGTTCTAGGTTAACTGGAGTATCATCTTTACTAAGGAAGTGCTCCTGTTGACTTAAGAGGACCTCGGTTTGACGAGCATCACGGTTGAACAACTGTTGATCCAGACTTTGCGAGAGAAGCACTTGTCTATTTTCCCACATTTGATGCAACTCTTCCCAACCATCCTTCAAAGCGTTCAATCGTTCACGAAGGAACATGTATTGTGGATCGTCCGAAGTATTTGACTCCGATGTTAAACGCTCACCATATTCCATCATGTTCTTATAATCTTCAGTGTAGTTATCAATTTCTTCACGAATAGATTGATGTTGATTTAGAAGTTTTTCAGCTTCAGGCAATGAAGTTGGAGTATCTTCAGAGGCCACATCAGTTTGAGTTTTAGTCAGCCAAGTCTGGAAGTGATCCAAGTCTCGTAAGAATCTATGCAAATCACCTGCCTCCTCCAGTTTAGAATCGCGGTCCTTTAACATTTGAGTTAACTGCTCCCAAATCAATTCAATTTGAGAAATTCTGTCGCGGATCAATTGTGCTTCCTCCGGATGATCATGTTCAATGCTGTCAGCTTCTTTGCTTAAGCTAGACAATTTGGCTTGAATAGCGGCCAAATCTCGTTCCATGCCGCTAAGTCGCCTCTGCAGAGTCATCACGCCTGTCAAATCCATCTCTAGACTATCGGTTTCCGTAAGGATACGTTTCTTATCTTCTATCCATGATATAGTTTCTCGGCACTCAATGTAGAAGGTCTGCACACCATGAGCAGATTTAAGGTCATCCATCTTGGCTTCAGCTTTTTCGCGTAAGGTGGACCATTCTTGATTAAGATGGTTTTGTCTTTCCAGTATTTCATCCGAATTGGGATGTTCAACATGTAACAATTGCCTTGCCAACTGATTAACAACAGCAACCCGGGAAGCGTTGGCATTCATTTCTTTATCGAAACCTTCAAAGCGATGCTTCATTATTTCAACATCTTCAATATCTTTTCCAGGTGTCATGGTATCCAGCATTTTGGTTTTTTCTTTTATCCATTGTTCAACACCGTCAGCCTCAGACATCAATTTATATAAGCTGAGCGCATCCAATAGACGTTGCTTGCGCAATTTGGCCAACTCTGTTAACTCCTTGTATCGTGTGTCGATAGCATCAAGTCGATTATCTACGTTTGCTTTCTCCGTATCGTTTAATTTTAAATCTTCAGCTTGCTTATGCAGAGCATTGATAACTTCAGCGTAGTTTTTAAGTTCGTCTGCGACATCCTTGTGTTTTTTAAGCAATGATTGAACATTGGCTTCATCGCGCCCAACATCTTCACTGGATACAATTCTAAGTGTATCAAGCATCCAATTGTCTACATCATCAGCATCAGCAAACAGTTGGAAGTATTCAACAGCGTTTTCGAGGCGTTGACGTCTGTATTTAGTTAAATCAAGTAAGTGATCCCATTTCGAAAGAATTTCTTTCAACCGATCTTTAATGCGATCGGCTCCGAAGTGACCCTCAGTTATTAATTCTGCACCTACTTTAGCAACTCCTTGCAATTGAGGATCATGCGATGTTATTTCGGATTCTAGTGCTTTATGTTTGCTTAGTAATAAATTAACTGTTGTCAAATCGTGCCCTATTTCATCGGTGGATACAATTTGTTCTTTTTCCTTTATCCAATTCTCTTCATCTGCAGTATCCCAATGGAATTGCCACAATTTTCTGCTCTCTTCTAACCGGCTTCGACGTTCCACAGCTAATCTAACCAATTCAGCATAAGCATCCTCTAATTGTTGAACTCGGCTTACAATAATTTCAGGATCACAAGGTTTATAAGACTCTGGGTCATCGCTTAAAAATTTCTGCGAATTTTGCACTACTACTTTAACACGCTCGCCAAGTATGTTAATATCAGCCTCCACAAGGGAATGCTTCTGTAGCAAGTCTTCAACGCCCATCAAGTGTTTTCCATAGTCATCTGTTAAAAGTAGCTGCCTGATTTCTTCCATATTATCCAATATATATAGCATTTCTTGGAAGTTTTGTTGCAATTGAAGCGATATTTCCAATCGCATTCTACGTGCCCTTAGTAATTCAAGCAAATACGTCCATAGTCGCATTACATTTTCTTTACGTAGCAATATACGTTTGACATCGTGGTATCGTTCTGATTCTAATTCATCGCAGACGGCAATAACCGCTTGAACGCGCTCTTCATATGCAAAAATATCAGTTTCTATTGCTTCGTGTTTCTTTGCGGCAGCTTCTACGGCAGCCAAATCGAATCCAAAGTTATCTTGGCTGACCAATCTTTGATTCTCAGATAGCCAAGTCTCTCGCATTGAAGCCTTTCGATCGAAACGCGCGGCAAGCTGCTCCAACTTCTCCTGGCGAATCAATTCTTCGCGCAAGGCCAATTCACGCTCATGCTCAGCCTTTTCCAGCCTTTCCCAAGCTTTATTTATATCAGAAATCATCTTTCCTTCCTTGGGAATGTATGGCTTTTGGTTATTGGCTCGCATTTTTGATTGAAGCGTGAAAAGTAGAACTTCTAAATTACCCTTCTCCACGAATTTCGGAGGCTTCTCAATAGTGCGATAGTTGGAGAACTGAGCTAATTGACTTTGCACTCCGGCCAAAGAATTCTCGAATTCACGTTCACCCAAAGCTTGAATGGTTGTTTCGATCCATTTCAACAAATCGCTTGTAAAATGTTCATAGTCATTAATCATTTTTTCGTTTTCCATAGCAATTCCGACAACCTTTCCTATTCGTTTACCTTGTACAGTCTCTTGCTTTAACTTACTGAAGTAATGATAGTAGGTAACTACATAAGTGATAATAGACTTCTCATCGGGATGGTCTACAAATACATCTTCAGCATCGAGTAATTTTGCAAGACCCAATTTCTCTTCGGCTACATCAAAGGCATTATTTAGATTATATAAGGGATTAGCTTTGGATAACTTTTCAAATTGCACCAGATCAGGACGGTGTTTGTGAATGATTGCATTAAATGCGAGTCCATCTCTCCAAGAAGTGGTGAAGTTTCTAACATTAACGTTATTGTATCCTGCAGTTTTCATTTGACACCAAAGAAGAAGAGCATCTTTTGCAGACTTAGTCTCCTTATTGTCAACTTCTTCGATTGTAATATCTTGAATCTAAATAGTACGATTATAAAATAAAAGACAATGCAATAATTTATCCCTTAAAATTTAGAGAGTTAGATCTTTTTTTTTTAAGTACAATAAGATGCTTACCTGGAATCTTAAAATAATGGTCCAAATTAGGCCCAAATTGAGGGAAGCATTTCCATCAACAATATCGTGTGATCCTATATTTTCTAAATGCACGCGTTGTTCACGTAGGAATTGTAGGGCTTTGTCTACATTTTCCAGGCAATGAATTCTCATTTTTCCTTTTGTTGGTTTTGGTAGACGTTCACCCGATAATACTTCTAGCAGCTTTATTAAGTATTTTCCGTCTCGCATATCAACATACAAATCTCCTATTCTACAGTTAACTCTACATAAGTGTGAGTTAACCCATTTCGTGAAAGTCTTCTTTTGGACATTTTCTCGTTCTTCGGCTAGAGCTTTTATACGCGATCTTTCAAATAGCCTGGAGCTGGAATTTCCCCCATCATATTCGTATTCATCGATATATTCATTTCCAGGACCCTGACTAGGGTCCCATCGTACAATTGAAATGTCGGTCGTCATTTGGTCGATAATTTATATCTAAAAATATATATAAGTAAATATATGTATATGTATATATGTATGTGTATATATTATATCTATGCATATACATAAATGTTTCAATATGTAAGTTAACATCAGCGAGAGGTTGATACCCTTCCATAAAGTGCTGACACCTCGCTGGTCAACACGAGCATCCGCTTGCCATTTCGTCACAACAAAATCAACAGCAAGCAATTGACTTCTCAGCGAATTGACTTCTCAACAAATTGGCTCTCGATCAACGAAAAGCTACTTCCACTGAAAAGGTGCTGACGCTCGCTAGTCTGCACGCGCATCCGCCTTGTCAGTTCGGTGCAGCGCAAACAGTAGCATAACCAGTGTTGCCAAACATGGGCTTTTCCTACCAAAACTGGTAGGCTTTTTTCCATTTGGTAGGTTGGTAGGCTTCATTGGATTTTGGTAGGTTTCGGGACAATGAGTAATAGTTATTTGCGAAAAATAGAAAATATGTACGTATCTCCAAATATTTTAGCAACCTTTTTTACACAAATATTTCACCGGTGCGTTCGTATAATGGCGGCCACAAACATGTAAATATACCTGATTCCTAAGTACAAACGTATACCTTATTATTGCCAATATGCAATACGGACATCCATATATCGTGACCTAAGGGTGAAAAGGTGCCAAGTCTATTTTTAGAAATTTTTCACGAGATGAAAAATCGATGTAGTTTCGTATTACCTGTCATTCTGCATCAAAAACTAAACTTTGAAAAAAAAATGGACTTGGCACCTTTTCACCTTTAGGTAGCGATATAATTTATGGCGTACTTGGACCAAGATTCCAGAAAAGTCTGCCAATGGGCTCGTACTCAACCATATTTCAGGCGGAAGTCTTCCCAATCGAAGTCTGTGTTCGCGAATGTCATCGTAGAAGGTAAATGAGGCCAGAATAAATATTATATCGGACATTTAGGCAGCGTTAAGGCCTTAGAGTCTTTTAAAAGGCATCAAGGCTTGTAAACTCTTGAAGCACCTGAGAGCCCACAATAGCGTCATGCTGTGGAGGGTTCATGGACATGAAGGGTTTGAAGGCAACGAAGGGGCTGACTGTCTCGCAAAGCGTGAAGCCCACCTACTTAGGAGTTAGCTGGGAATAATCTCAAATTGCAGCCCACTAGCGGAAGTCAAAGGGAATAAGACAATCAAAGATATTCATAACTCTTTCCAGCAGGAACTCCGAAAGACACCTTGAACCTAGAACTCTTACTGGCAACCTGACAGCACACTGCTAGTTAACGTACGGTTTTAATTAAATGGGTCTTTCTGTAGAGACGGCCTGTAGGGTTTGTCGGCTGGTGAAAGAACCCCATTCTATGTGCCTGTCCACGAAGCATAAATCGTAGATTGATACACCTTGGAGAACGATTGCCTTCTCCATCTAAAATTTGGAACATGGCGCCATCCAAAGTGCTGAGCTTTTTAAACAGCCTAAGGTTGGAGTGATTACAAGTTGGATTTAGCACAATATATCTTCTTAGGTCGCAGCGCGGGTATCTTCGACGTAATAATAATAATATCGTCACTAGACACGAATAAAGAGCTCGAAAAAAACTCTTTGGGGAGTTCTGGGGAATACTGTTGCACTAGAAAATATAGTTGGCCGCGGACATAAGTTTATGGGTCTTTCTTCGCTGCCAAAGAGGTTGACGCGGCTTTATTTGCCGTCACCTATGTTAAGAGTCTTTCTTCGCCGAAATTGATTTTACGCCTCTCTTCTCGTTATCAACTTTTGAGCTCGCGTCTTTATTCGTATCTAGTGACGATATGTATGTATGTGTAAAGATACATATGTACATATGGGTAAGTCTGTACAATAAAATGAATCGTTATACGCAGTTAATTTGTTTTTATTAATCTAGTTGTGTTTTAGTTTTACTAAATGTTATGTTAACTATGTTTTTAAAAAATTTGACATTGAAAACAAATATTAAAACTCAAAAAAATGTTTGGTAGGTTTTGGTTGGTTATGGTAGGACATTTTGGTTGGAAAAAAATTTGTCTGTGGCAACGCTGAGCATAACGACCAACACGAACCATTTCCCACCAAAAGCGCTGACACCCCATTACGGCTTCAGTTTGGCAACGAGCAACAACAACAATCAACGGACAGCTATTAGTTAGATTTAATATTTAAATAAGTTCTGCCCTTGTATTTGGACTTTGATGTCCGCACTTGTAGTGAACGACTGCCCTACATAGTAGGGAAATAAATAATGAATTAAAATCGAGTGTCTCGTGTTTTACTTGTATATGTAATCAAATATAGGCCCTTATTATGAGTTGCATTCGATTTTCGATCTTCGCTGGCTATCGAAGATCGAAAGTGAAATTCGTATTATGAGCTATGCAAACGTGTCGAAATTTTCGTTGAGTATCGAATTTTGCTTTCGTTGGTGTAGCGAAGTGTTAGAAAATTGTGAAAAATTTATGATTTTGCATTTGTTTTCTTCCTTTTTGGCGGCTAGACACTAATTTTAAACAATTTTTATTAATTTCATGCAGTTCTAACGTCGTGAATACTAAACACAAGCTCGAAAAGCTGGTTTTACTTATGAAAGAAAATCCCAATACTCTGTTAGCACGATCTCTGAGAACAAAATCATAGAGCTGTTTATAGCTTTAATATATTTTAAATAGATTTGGATCACAACATTTTTTAAATATATTGTATGTCAAAATATACTCGAAAGACTACACTTAAACTCTCTTAAACGTTTTCTGCTCCTGGCCAGTTTTCTAAACTCCCATCCTCTGACGAATCGTTGAACCAGAACTCCGTTGTACTAATTTTTACCACGTTTTTATAAACCCGCTTTCTTTTTTATTTCATTTTAATTTGCAAAAATTTTCATATGTATGTACATATGTATAAGCACACTATTTTGTTTGCTCAATTTGAAAACAAAGCTTCTCAGCGGTGAAAAATATACTATTGTGAATAACCTACAGGAGCGAAATTCACAATAGCGAAAAAATTCGTTCGGTCAGCACTATCGACCACAGTCGAAGATCGAATGCAACTCATAATAAGGGCCATAATAACACACTTTTTGCAACTTAGCCTTATGTATGTATAGCTGCGAGTATAATTAAACCAGCAAAATTCAAAATGATGTTGGCAACTTATGTTTATTTATTTATTGTTAATAAGTTTCAATTAAAATATGGGTCGATATATATCATAAAAGCCCGGTTATGCAAGACCTAGACTTGACTTGAAAATTGTATAACTGGCAAATGAGCAAAACGTGTATGTAGTTGCCCAAAGTTAAGTTTCTAGAGCTGTGAGAGGATCATGCTGCCATATCATTTTTTCAAGGTCATCCCAAAGCGAATTCAGAAGAATTATATTGAATTGTCAGGTTTATTCAATGAATTTTTCCTTACTTGACCTTCAAATGACGTCGAACCTGAATTGATGGAGGCTAACAGACCTCGGGTTCGCATTCAGGGCGTCGAATAACAAAGGGATATAGAGGTTTGGTTCAATATGCAGAAACTTTGATTTTTGTAAACCTGTGTTATTGTTGATTTTTTAGAATTTTTTGTGGAGGGTTTTGTGCATTTTCTTCCATATAAATTAAAATTTTGTTTATGTGTTATATGTAAGAAAATGAGCGAAACCCCCGACAAAAAAAACTAAAAAATACGGTAATTTTTAGCGACTTGAAACTTGCACTTTATTACTAAAATTGAATGGGCTACAGAACAGCATACTCAATAAGGTGGATTCTGTTACAACCGAGCTACAAACTAATACTCGGTAAAATATATGAAACTAGTGAACCCGCATGGCGTCAAAACGCCAACATTTAATTAAATTTTTTAAACAGGTGAAACCCTATTCAAAAACCTGTAAAAATATTCCTAATGATTAATCTAAACCATTTCTCAGTGATGAGAGGTCTCGCATGGTGTCGGTTTTCATTTCACATTTTTCATTTCACATCTATGTAGAATCCCAGTTCTTTAATTTGATTTCTCATTTTGGAAATTCGAAATAACGGTGCAGATGTGATGGCCTTAAAAAAAATAGATGGCAACTCTAATTAAAAGTATTATCAGCCTATAGTTTTCTTAAAACTCTTTCGTTTGACACTAATATTTCGATATTTCATGTATTTGTCTTTCGTATAAGTAAAACAAATTCGACTTTTCAAACAAGTGGTAACCCCTTTAAAAGTATATTCAAACTAAAATCTTTCGCCTGGCATTGTTAGACATATTTCAATTAACTGATGAATTAAGTTGAATTTAATTTTTTTAAGCACATGGCAACTCTCCTAAATACAGTTTAGAAATAAATTATTTTCAAACCCATTTCGATTGATATCCATCTTTTGACAATCTATTTAACTTACTAAATATTGAGCTTAATTTTTTCAACAAAAAAACACCAAATGTTCAATTCAAAGATTTCTTAACGCTCGTTCTTTTGATTACCATATTTTAAAATTTGATGTAACTTATGTATAATTAAACGAAATACCACTTTCAAAACTGGCGCAACCCTCTTAGAAATTATTTTCGAACTAAAATTTCCTTAAATATTTTTCGTCTGACATTGTTATAAATATTTCAAGTAACTGATGAATTAAGTGGAAATTTATTTTTTAAACATGTGGCGACCCTCCTAAATATAGATAACCATCGGTTAGTAATTCATTTGACTTATTAAATAATTTTAGCCCTTTAAACTGGGGCAACCCTCAAACACATCAAAAATGTTCTAAATTGTCAAACTAAGTTGGGGTATTCACAACGGTGTCGTCAGTATCGTATTGTTGTATGTCGTAAACTTTAAACGCCTAAAAAATATATTAAGCAGGTTCGCAAAGTACCATCAAAGTCATATTTTGAATTTTCGCAGTGTTAAAAAATAGTTGATTGTGGTTTCAAGTTCTTTAAACATTTATATATGCTTTTAAAGTTTACGAAATACAACAATACGACACTTACGACACCGTTGTG